CCCGGCGCGCGATTCCAAGCGACTCCGGCAGACGCCAGAGCCAGAAGTCGGGGAGACAGGAAAGAGGGTTTGGGGGAGATGGGAGGGAAATGCCATCGTAGAGTTCGAGCGGGGCGTCCCTACTCGACCGACCGCCCCCAAGCAGAGATCGCTCTGCCCGCGCCCGTGCTCCGGAAGAGCCGCGCGTCCCGCGCGCAGCCCCGGGGGCGAAGGCAGCGTGCGAAGCGCCTGGGCACGGCTGCCTCCAGGCCACGCGGCCCGAGAGGACGCCCTGGGGACGGGGACTCACTCCCGCGTTTGCTTTGGTCTCAGCTGGGGACGCGACACAGCCCAACGGGTTGGGGAGGACTCTGCCGGGTCCGGGACAGCGCCGCGCTGCCGACTTCGGGAGACGAGAATTCTCGGCGCGTCTCCCACTGCGGCCCCGGCTGTCTCCAAGGCCCCCACGGTCCCCTCCACGTTTTCAAGACGGGGACTTCTTTGTCCCCGACGGATTCGGTTCTCCAAACCCCAGCCTGGGTAACAGCACCCGGCAAACTCTGGAAGGAGCCCGGGTGTCGCACCGCGGCCCCGGTCCCCCCGCACGGCCTCTGTCTTTGAATTTTCGCCGCTGGATCCCCGCAGTGGGTACCGACGGCCTCTGTGCTCCTTGGATGCTAAGTTAGTTTACTTTGGGGTCCCTAGGGAACCAGAAAACACACTCGGCAAAGCGCACTTTTCTTCAGTCTCTAAAACATGTCTCAAACAATAGTCACGAGCTTTAGGAGAGATGGGACTGTAAAGGAACTTCTCAAACCGTCAGCCTTCCCCAAAGCCTCAGGTCCCCCCAAACCGAGCGCGGCCCGCTCCAGGGCCGGACCCAGGCTGGCGTCGCTGGAGGACCGCACGCAGCGTCCCCTAATTTCTGCGTCGCGGGCACCAGCTCTGCTCCAACACCTTTTCCCCGATCCCCGTCCCCAAACTCTGCCCCGGCCCCCGGCTCTGCGTCGGCGAGAGGTGGCTCAACTCAGCCGGCCGATGTTGGGAGCTCGGTGACACCTCTCCTTCCCCACAGCCCTTTCCGGGGTCCCACAAAATCCTTAAGAGAAGAAAGAACTTTACTTAAAAGACAGAGAGGGGAAAAGCAAGTCATTGGCAAGGGGGCCTCTGTGGCGACAGTGGCCAGGTGCTCTGGGAATGGGTGAGTACTACTTTTCTCTTTTTCGGTAAACAAATCAGGAAACTGGCCGGTCATCGGTCCCCCGTCCCCCACGGCTCCCTCTGCAAACGCCACTGATTAACTTAAAACAAACGGGGACTCGCTGTTTGCGCGCCGGTGTGGTGTTGGCTGAAGTTGAGCAAGGGCGGAGTGGCCCCCGGGGTTCACAGGACGGTGCCCGAGGGCGCGCGGTGCCGGCGGCTCGACCTGCCCCTCGGCCTCCGCCCTCCGTCTCCGCCGCGTGGGCGCCGCGTCCCAGGGGGACCGGACCCGGTATGACCCGGGGCCTCCTGGCCACTGCCCGCGCACAGAGACCCACCTCCCCGCTGCCGAGACGCCGCGGCGGGGCCGAGGCTGCGGCGGAGCAAGACGGTCACCCGACCCCCGCGGCCTGATTTCTGTAACTTTACAGGGTGATCTCGGGGTGTTTACATTTCGCAGTGATGGTCGGAAACATGTGAGGTTCATTACAGGACTTCAATGCTTTGCGAGGAAACCAGACCCTCCTGTGTCTCTTTTCCTCTTTTCTCCACCCCCATCCGGGCGTCCTCCCTTTTTTCCTTTTCCTTTTTCAGGAGATTTTCACATGGGCGCAGATGAAAGTACCCAGACCGGGAGCCCTGTCCCCACGGAAGTGGCCTCTCCCCTAGGCCGGCGGGGCAGAGGGCTGCGAGCCTCAGGCTGCCGGGGAAGTGGGGCTGCTGACGACCAGGTTTCTAGGGCCTGAGTTTCTGGGCCAAGTGTTTGCGAATCTGCGACGCCGTCCTTATCAGCGAGGTGCTTGCTGCAAACTCACTTCAAGAGTGGGGGCGCATCGCCCCTGCTTGTTTCCCTTCCCGGGGCCACGGTGACATTTCAGGAACTTTGAGGAGATTTCAGAGTGATCCAAAGTTGTTGCTTGAGGCGATTCCTGTTTCTAGTCTGATTGGTTGCTTTGCAGACTTGTGTCCAGCACAGAAATATTTAACAGAAGACGTTGGAACTATTTTTAAATTTAAAAAATACATGAACTGCAGCTCACTGATGCCAAAAGCTATTTTCCTCTCACCGCAAAAAAAGTAGTTCTCTTAAGTACACCTGTGTGAAAATTTTATTTTATATTTTACCCGGTGGCATTTGCCCACCAATCATCCAAATGCTTTTCATCGCAGGATAAAAACCTACCCAGGAAATTAATTGGACGCGCGTGTCCATTTCTCTCGTCTTTCAGCGTCTCAGTTTAAAATGGTGAATTACTCCTATGACGAAGACCTGGAAGAGCTGTGTCCAGTGTGTGGAGATAAAGTGTCTGGGTACCACTACGGGCTCCTCACCTGTGAAAGCTGCAAGGTGAGCTCACACGCCCCTACCTGAGAAATAGCATGGATGTTCGGAACACACTTACACCGTGGGCTTGCAAACTTGACGCCAAGTTTGATCTGTCATTTTAGACTCAGCTTAAAATAAGAAGGAGAGTCAGTCTCAGGGAGCTGAGCCTTAGAAACGTGTCTGGTTTCATTCGAAAGGCAAAGAAATGTATACTGTTTAGAAAACTTTGCCACTCTCGTGGCTTTGAGGTATTTTATTGTAGTGAAGTGATGTAGCTGTAGGAAGACTTCTCCATTTCTAACAGTCCCAAATATTGATTTTGCTTGACTTATATACATTTAAAGCCTCGCTGTTCTTGAGAGGAAACATGACAAAGTATTTCCCAAATACCTTTTAACTTCAGAGTATTCTGTGCTGCAAGTCTAAACATTTTTTATCCACAGACATAAAAGTCTAAATTCCCAACTGTATGATTTCATCCTGATTTATTCCAAAAATAATTTTTAAGATTTTTGGAAATTTATATCATAAAAAAACCACAAGAGACCAGATCATAGTTTATAATAGTTTCATAAATATATTATATGACCTATTTAAATGCAAGGAGTTTTAATATATAAAATAGACTACGTGGTTACTAATAATATCAACTAGACATTAAGGATTTATCTCAGATGTTTTTTATATATTCCCAGTAAATTTGATACTCGCTGTTTTTTAACATTTTTTTAAAGTAGAAAACTCAGTACAATTACTCAAATCAGTGCCAGGAAAACCCCTTCATTCTCGATAACAAAGTCAGATCGTTTCACTTTATGGCTGGTTGGATAAACAGAAAGAATATAGCATCCTGGTAAAGCTGTAATTATATTGTAAAGCTACAGGTTTTATTTTCAATTAACTTCTTGAGTGAAATATAGGGAAAGCGTACGCTGCTAAAATTCAGCTCTCTGCTGTACATGCTTTGCCATAGTTTCATCTTTTTTTTTTTTTTTTTTTTTAACAGAGTTCTCATACTGGAATGCATTCTAGTGGAATTGTGAACATTTTCCCATTTTGCTCTTTAAATCTTTTTGATTTTAATTACCTAATGTTGACATTTGTAAAAGATCTGAGATGTTTTGCTATTCAGTTTTTCCACTGGCGTTTTTGCAATAGTTTCTCGCCGAAATTATATCGGACTACTTAAAAACAGTGCAATCATCACAAATACCTCTAACTAGACATGAAGGTTAATAGAAAAACAGATTAAAAAAAAAAGAAGGCACTGGTCAATATACAATGTATTTTCTTCTGACTGTTGAGATGGAATGGTGTGTAGCCAGATCTTCACAAGATTTGATGTAATTCTTCAGGAATATAACTCCGATGCCAGGAAAACCTCCACTCTAGCCTGACATTGTTTTGGGGGTTCATCTTGTTAAAATGTAAAACAAACCACAGACCCACATAGAGGCTCAAACGTTGCAATGAAAAGATTTACTGCTGACTTCCTTAAATGAAACAATGGAGAGACGGGTATTATATCTGTAACATGTCTCACTGTTTTCTCTGTCTTATAGGGTTTTTTTAAGCGAACAGTCCAAAACAATAAAAGGTACACATGTATAGAAAACCAGAACTGCCAAATAGACAAAACACAGAGGAAGCGTTGTCCTTACTGTCGGTTTCAAAAATGTCTAAGTGTTGGAATGAAGCTGGAAGGTAAGAGTCTTCTAAATACTACTTCCTGTTAGAACTCCAAGGACCTAGGATTTAAAACAACATTGTGCTTGTAATGTGGTACCACTGTTTCCCTAACTATGTAATACCGTTGACAGTAACGTAAGAGTTTTTATACTGTGTCAGCAGAGGTGCCTGAGTCTCCTTACTAATGCTGGTGAAATCACGGGGGGCGGGGGGATTTTAAATATCAGCTGTGCCCACCTCTTTTTTTTATTTGAGAAGTGGACACATTTGACACTAAAAAGACTGTGCTAGATGAAAACAAGACTCAAGTGATCCAACTGAGAACAAATACAAATAACTCGCAAAAAAAATTTAAAAAGCCCTTAATTTAAGTTTTCAAATCAGGATGCACTAGTGAAAGTTTGATTTGGAGCTTTTCTAATAGGTGTGCTTGTCATAACTGTGGCTATTGATTTCATGATTCCTGGGCAAAGGTCAAAGCTTTCAGTGGTCAAAAGGAGTTTCTCACAGAGTATCATTTTTGACAGTGGGAAAGCACGTTCCTTTCTTTCTTTCTTTCTTTCTTTTTTTTTTTTTTATTGAGATAATGACTGAGTCTGCAAAATAAAAATTAAAAAAAAAGTCGAGAAGCAGGAAACATACCGAACTATGAAACCAGTAGCAATGTTGGGACAAGGACAAGGGGGCGGTTTCTCAGAAGCCACATTAAACTGCATGCTGAGAGCACAGAGCCCGTGCCCTGTACGTGTGGCGTGTGCACGGGGAGGTGGTAAAGCCAGTGTGTCACTGCTGAAAATAACTGGTGGTTGCCGGGCTCCTGTGGAGTGTTGCTGTTCTTCAGGCTCTCACCTAACTCTCACAGATTAAATGTACTGCAGATAATGTGATAGACAGGAATACGGATCTCTGACAGGTGCCAGGTACGAGGGCGCATTTTCTTTGATCAACGAGGCACAGGCTGGCTGTGGCTGGAGCTTTTCTGTAATGTGGGACCCAGACTTGATGGAAATACTCAAAAACTCTCCAGTAAATCTGCTCAATTACTAATGGATTCCTTCCCACTAGAAGCAGCCACTTGGGTCACGAGGACCATTAAGTCTGTATTACTTTTAAGTGACATTGAAACTAGCTGATGCGTGTTAATTTATTTATCACCAATCACTTTATTATTTTTCAAAAAGCAGGATACTGTGGTAGATGCTACTATGGTAGGAGACCCAGAAAGTAAAATGTTAAAAATCGAACGTCGTGACTTCATAGGATGCCATTTAATTTCTTTTTTAAGAAACAAAAGTAAAAAGTTGCATTTCTTTGCCTTAAAGTATGCCTTCTTAACCGTAAGTCGCTTGTAGTGCATAGTCATACCTCCTTACCAGTGACTGGAAACAACTAAATATTCAATAAATTATCGTCCACACGAAAAACTCTTTATTATCTTGTGCAGTAGTCTGGATACCTACTATTTACAATAAATTTTTAATGCTATACTAATCCTAAGATAAAAAGCTCAAAAACTTAACCTCCAGCCATTTCAACATGTCACGAGCTGTCAGAGGTTGCTGGTTTCTGTCTAATTGCCATTGGCCACTGTGGGCTCAGAGAGAATGGCTAACTTATTAGACATGGCCCCAGACTCCACGCAGCACTGTGGCAGTGGACTGTCTCGACAGCTTTGGACACGAACTTGCTTTAATTATGTCCAGTCTTGCTTAAATCAAAAACAATATCTGGGGATAGCTGCTGTGTGCTAAAGTCCAGGTGAAAATGATTTTCTAGGGAGGGTATGGGCCCAGCCCTTTCGCAGCAAACAAGCCAACGCGGCTTTGAAGGAGGACGATGTTCAAAGGGAAAATTCTCACGATTTAATCCAGAAATGGGTTATTTGATTTTTTTTTTTTTTCTTCTTGGCAGTTTGAGTTTCCGTTAAAGAGAATCACAATGTAACTAGCAGAATAGAAACGGATACTTAGTAGAAAAACTGATAGCCTTTCTTGGGAATACAAAGTATCCTCCAAGTGTGGCAAAGGTTAGAAAATCTCTTCCGTCCACCAAAGGGTTAATGGGGCCCTGTGTACCCAAAATACTTTTTGATGACAAACACACTTGGAGGAAAGAATTCATAACTAGAGGACAGGGCACTTTTTTTTTTTCTGGCCGATTTTCAGTATTTCCAGGAGCTGGCAATCGGGGGACGCTGACGACTTAGATCTAATTTGCCCCCTCGCCTGCTTCCCCCCACAGCGGTCAGGGCCGACCGAATGCGCGGAGGAAGGAATAAATTTGGGCCGATGTACAAGAGAGACAGAGCTCTGAAGCAGCAGAAGAAAGCCCTCATCCGCGCCAACGGGCTGAAGCTGGAGGCCATGTCGCAGGCGATCCAAGCCATGCCCTCCGAGCTGGGCATCTCCTCCGCCATGCACAGCATCCATTCCGCCTCCAAAGGCCTACCTCCGAGCCACGCTGCCTTGCCTCCCACAGACTACGACCGGAGCCCCTTCGTCACGTCCCCCATCAGCATGACCATGCCGCCTCACGGCAGCCTGCAAGGCTACCAAGCCTACGGCCACTTCCCCAGCCGGGCCATCAAGTCCGAGTACCCCGACCCCTACACCAGCTCGCCGGAGTCCATCATGGGTTACTCCTACGTGGACGCCTACCAGACAGGCTCCCCCGCGAGCATCCCGCATCTGATCCTGGAACTCTTGAAGTGCGAGCCAGACGAACCCCAGGTCCAAGCCAAAATCATGGCTTATTTGCAGCAAGAGCAAGCCAGCCGGAGCAAGCACGAGAAGCTGAGTGCGTTCGGGCTGATGTGCAAGATGGCAGAC